TGCTGCTGCCAGTGGTGGCAGCGGCCAGGGGGGATCATGGAAAAACCCTCAGGTGCCACTGACAGTGTTGGTGGTGCCTTTTTGCAGAGGGTGCACCATCATGCGCAGGGGGTGCACGTGCACCCACGTGCACCCCCTACGCGTCGCCCCTCCTGACATAGGGTCCTTAAGGACCACCAACAGCACATCTTGTGCCCCAAGGCTGCTGGGGACTTGCTCCCTGTCACCAAGTTATTCCTTTTCCTGGGCACCTCTTGCAGGGGTGCTCTGCTGCTAACTCTTCCCCCCACCCCCATGGTCCTGTAGGTATAGGGGGTGGTGATGGCCCTGTTGGTGGTGAGAAAGTGAAACAGCTCCTTGTAGAAGGGCTTGCTTCCTTCTCACAGGCTTCATTTTAGTGTCCCAGACATGTTTGTACTGCACTTTCATCCACTTGGTAGTAGTATACAAGCTCACCGCCCTTCAGTGCAAATGTGACAGGTGGGCAGGACCAGAAGCAAGCAGCGGTAGATATGGATTCTTTCACAACACCTGTAGACCCCCTCACCACAACCCCAAGACAGCTGCATAGAAAGCATTACCGTAGAAATAGTTTTAAGGAGGAGGGCAGGCCCCTAGCCCAAAGACTCGTGACCCTGTTCAGAAAGACCCTGAATAAACAGGCAAATGGAGGAGGCCCAGGCCCCCGAAACAGACATTGAGAATTTAGAAGATGGTATCTTTGTGCCAGAACCTGCATGCGAAGTAGAGTTCATTGCAGAGGAGAGGTCGGTAAGAGACTTGGAACATGGTTGTGGGGGCAGGGTGGGGGGGCACTTACATTTTGATGGTAGTAGTGTGGGTTCACTTCATAGCATGTGTGTGTTTGGAAGTAGCTAAGGACTGATTAAACAGCAGCTAACTAAGGCATTTATTTGAACTCCTTTGCAGTTAGATGAAGCCTTTTTAATGACTCCAGAAAACCTACTCACCAGTATACCCATACAGGTTGTAGTGCGCAGGTTTGTTATTACCCTGAAATAGAATAGTTTTCTAATAAGCATACTGTTAGGTTTACAATAATTTAGATTATTAGGAAGTATTAGCTTTACAGCTGAATACAAGGCATGACCTGTGGCCTAGCAATGCAGCTGACCACAAGGCAGATTGATAGCTAAGCCTTTGCTTGTGTCAAGTAATCATTTTAACTATATTAAGCATTTTCTGAGTTAAAAACAGCAAGTATCTCTGTGTCTGTGTGCTGAAAAATCAGCTACAGCAAGAAATAAGATAAGACAGGGAAACCATTGTTCTGGGTACACTGGTTGTGTCCTTGAGAAGTATCTACTACTGTGTAAGGTTTTGCTAACATATTATAATGTTACTGTTACTTAACTTTTAGCTTTTAAAAAAGTGCTAGTTCAGCTTAATAAAAATATGCTGTTACAAAGATTTAAAAAACACCGCCCAAGTATTGCTTTTTTTTGTTAACCATGAAGTCTTGCCTTGTTATAATAAATATAAAAGATCACCTCACCCTTAGGGGGGGGCCATTTTGCCTTTTGCTGGCTTTATGGTCTTTGCTCAAACAAATAAACAGCTGTCTTTCTTTACCCGCGTTGTCTGTCAATCAAATTACAGCTAGACAACGAACCTTAGCGAGGTTTCTCCCACCACACAGCCCACGTGCAGCTCATTGTTTTGGGAGGGTGCTGCCAGCAGTAGAGGCAAGAGCTGGCATGACTGGATGTGTTAGCGCTGGAGCAGGCTACGTGGTGATGTGCATCCAGGCAGAAGCTGAGCGTCCGCTGAGCGTGTCAAAGCAGAAAGACCTACTCACCTGTCGCCCGTGGGGCCTTGGCTGCTTCCAAGGGACGGCTGCAGGCCCCGCACACACCTCGGACTGCCCAGAGTGACCCTTGCAGACGCCACACGACACGACACGTCCCGGGGGCCCTTCTGCCCCATGTCCCGCTCCTGTCACGCTGCGGCCCCTCGCTGAGACGCTGGCTCCAAGGACGGGGGCACGAGGAGGAGCCTGCGGGAAAGGGCAGACCCTCGTCAGACACTTTCACGGGAATGAAAACGCACGCACCGCTTACCGCACCGCAGTCGAGGAAATGACGCCCGGGGGCCGGCCCAGCACATTCCCATGAAGAGTGCTGAAATCAATCCCCACACAAAATGACCACTTTCCCACGCAAAAGCCATCACGTGCCGTCAAGAAAGCTTTCCAAAT